CATGCCCTTTCCTTGTCGATTCAATGATCTAGCCGATTATCCTCTTTATCTTTGAAGTTTGATCCTATAAATAAAACTTGCAATTTATATAGTTCCAGTTTTCAATAATTTGTCTCAGACCAAGAAAAATTGAGAGGAAATCATCCTAGCGTAGATTGCCTTACTGCTAATAAATGAAATGCAGCTTTTCTGAAACATTAAACTTTAGTAGCAATTAACCGAATTTACATTCTTATTCAAATAAAATTAGCCTAGCTGGTAATAAAAAAATCCAGAATATTTAGTTTAATGATTGACATAATTAATAAAAGAAAAAACTATAGATACTAAAATTTGAACTCCAAATTTAATAAATATAATTTTTTTAAAATAATTATATAAATTAATTAAATTAATCTCGAGATTCATGGACATAATCTTTTTATTCAAAAAACAATGTTCAATCTCTTTTCCTCGAATTAAAAAAAAAAAAAAAAAAAGCTTTGCAATTTACAAAATTGGTTGGAGTGGCAATCAAAAAGAGTAGAACCATCGATGACTATTTTTGAATGAGAAATGCAACAACTTATGGTCTTTTGACCAAAGGCAATTCAATCAAATTAAGTAGCATAAAACTATTTATAATAACTAGAGAAGGTAAAATTATTCGAAATCAACGGATTTCGATTCGACCCGACTTTTTAGGGTCGATTTTTTTTTTTTTAAATCAGGTATCAAGTCGGGTAAGATCGGATGACATAAAAAAATTTTGGGTTCAGGTCGGGGTTGGGTTTTAGGCAAACCTAACCCTATCCGGTCCGATATATATATAAAAAAATTATTTTTTAATTATTTATTTAATTTTATATTTAATTTTATATTTTTTTTATATATTTAATTTTATATTTATATTAAAAATAATATTTTATTAATTTTGGATCGAGTCGGGTCGAATTCAATTTTATACAATGTCGGATCAGATCGGATACAGATATTAAAAAATAAAAAAATTATCGAGTCGAGTATGGATACGAGTTTTATATGTTTAAAGTCGGGTCAGATTCGAGACGAGCAAAAATCGGTCTCGACCCGACTCGTTGCCATCACTAATAACAACCTAATAAAGAATTGTTTAAAGAAGTGAAATTAATTAATCATTTAGATTGGCCGTGACAAACATGATTATCAATTATCGATACAATTTTAGGTTAATCAAAATTAGTTATTTTGATAGGTTGGGTGGCTTGATGTAATCATATTGACCACTAGAAGAAAATAAAATGAAAATGTAAAAATTGTCGAAACTTTATTAATTCAGTTACAAATAGGAGTGGAGTTAAAAAAGCTTTGATAATCAATGTTTTCTTGCTTATTAATTTTATAGGATTTTAATTCTTCATGAATCACAAATTATTCAATAATTCTGTAATCATTGAGTCGATTTTAAAATTAAAAGTATCAAATTCGAATTCTAATCATAATCCAAAAAACTTAAAATATATATAAGCTCATTGCATATATTCATCAATCTAGTTGGAATCCTGTTGCTTTTATATTATTTGCTTGATCTTTGACTTGCGATCACAAATATTGTTAGTATTTCATGCTGATTTGGTAAAAAGGAAAAAATTAATTAAAAAAAACTCCTTTAGAGTTATTCTATAAATGATGAGCCAAGGATATAATTTCTTCAAGGAGTTTTCATTCTTTATTGGTGGCTTGTTAATTAAGATAAAATCCTCCTTAAATCTTGATAACTTCCCATCACATAAATGGCTGGTTTTGGTTGGTCAGGTCCTAATCTATGACATGAAAGTTTTTTTATTATCAACAAATCATGGAACCATCACTTGTGGTCCTGGGTCCCTATAAAAAAACAATAATAAAAAAAAAAATTGAAAGGCAAATCTCTTGGTACCACTTTGGGCTTAGCCCATGAACTTCACTTTCCAAAAATTGTAGAAAATAAAAACCAAATTTGAGTTAGAAAGCAAAAACATTATCCAAAGAGAAGAAAGATCTTGTAATTTTATTAAACCCGATAAGGTAACATGATACTGAAAAAAGGCATATTATTTGTGATGATTGTAGTATAATTAATTAATTATAATTTAAAATTATTTGTAATTTATTAAAATTTTATATAGAATTCATATTTATAAGTGTGATTCTTACATAAATTTTTATTTTAATTGGATAATTATAGCATTATAATAAAAAAAAATTGTAAGTGATGTACTCCAATAAAAAAAGACACGTAAATAATATAGTTTAAATTTTTTAAATAAATCATATATAAATTTAATAAAAACAAATATATATTTCACATTTAATATGTTAACATAAAATATAAAATAATAATTTTCGTATTTTATACATGTTTGATATATAATAAATATGATATAAATACATAAATTATAGCTTTCATATTTTTCTTATTTAGGAATAAATATAAACCTTCAATATTAGAATCTTGTTTCTAAAATTTTTATCATTCTGAAAAAATTCAAATGGATATTCATATGTAGGAACTTTCATAAAATTAACTCTTTTATTTTCTTTTAATTTGATGATTAAGGCAATTTTCATTATTTTCAAACTTAGAGAGCCTTTGTCATTATTCATTAATTTCTTGATAATTTCTAGTTATTTTTATTATTATTCTTTGTTACTAATTATTTTGTCATATTATATCTTATTCCTTTTATTTTTTCTAATTTTCTATCATTTTGGCTAAATTTCAGAAAAAAAAATATTCTCTAAAAAATTACAAATTCGTAATTCATCTAGAATTTATCATTGATTTTCATCTACATTTATCCTTTAAAAAATCCTAAAATGTTAGCTTTCAATTATTTGGTTATCTAATTTTTATTATTATTATATTATATTGAAAATATGTTAAATTTTTATGATTTTGAAAACAATTAAAATTATTTTTTTCACCTAAAAATGTCTAAGAAAACAAATAATTCTTGATTTCTTAGAATTTCACTATGAGATAATTATTATAAAATTTATTTAAATTATTTTATTAATTTTTATTTAATATTAAATCTTTATTTAAATTATCCACCATTCTATAATAATTTAAACATAAGATCCTCATTTAAAAAGTTCTAGAAAATCATTCATTTTTAATTTCTTAAATTTTCATCATTGAAATCCCACTTACAAATAATATCATTCTCATAATAATTTTTTAAAAAAATGTATTAAGATAAAATAAGCTAACGAACAAATAGCTAAGGACATAAAACAAAATAAAATAAAACTAAACTAAAATTTAGAAATTATTCCTAATTTGAAGTTGGGTTTGAATCCAAATAAATGAAAGGAAGACAAAGTCTAGCACACCTAGAGCTGTAAACGAGCCGAGCCGAGCAGAATAATGAGAAGCTCGAGCTCGAGCTCGACTCACAACTCGGGGCTCGATACTCGGCTCGAGCTCGATCGAGTTTTATTTTTCAAGCTCGAACTCGATTCGTGATCGAATTCGAGCTATTCGAGCTCGCTCGATTAATATATAAAAAAAAGCTCGATTTTTATATTCGAAAAAAACTCGATTATTCGAGCTCGAGCGCGAGATTTTTTACAACTAATTTTTATCAAACCTAATAAATATTATATTTTCAAGATAACAACAACAATAATAACAACAACAACAACAATAATAATAACTTACACAACAACCAAATTTAAGCAAATAAAAGTCTCATTAAATGATTCAAATACAACACACAAATATAAGACATAATGAAACTTAGAAATTAAAATCCTAATTAAAAGATATTAAATATCAAGCAAATAGTTTCACAAATAAGTTACAACAAACCAAACAACAATACATATGTTGCCTTCACAATATTATGTCTTCAAATGAACATTGGGCCTCATATTACTTTTCAATAAACCTATACAAAAGAATAATTACAAAACAAAGAAATTATAATTAACAATAAGAATAACGATAAAAGTACCTATACAAGAAAAATATTGTAATATTATTACAATGATTAATAACTTTAAATTTTTACATTAGCATCAACATGATTTATCTTGTCAGTTGTCTTATAATCAGAGTAAAAAAATATAAACAGTATCTTATCAATTACCTTAACATGAGTTTTCTATCATTAGTTAACTATGGTTCGTAAATTATAATGCAAAAAGCTCAATCTAGACTAGCTACTACCTATTTTTCTTTAGTAATGTTGTGACAAATTAAAAGTATTTAATAATAATATTTCATACCTGTATAAAAGACATTAGATATCCTCACTTTAGGGGATTTTGAGTGCAATCTCAATTGATTTCTTCTCTTTCTACATAGATAAAGTAAAGGAAAATAATAGTTAAAAATTAGATTAAAGCAATGATAGTCACCTAATAACAAAATAATAATAAAAAAAACTCACTTTGTTCTTCTTCTTCACTCCATGAAGATTCCGACACCAATCTCATCCACAAAGTAATGCTTGCACTGTGTCAGGAGATAAAGAAGCACGATAAGTATCAATAACTCTACCTCTTGCACTAAAGGTAGCTTTTGAAGCCACTGTAGTGATAGGAATAGCAAGTATATCCCGAGCCATCTTGGATAAAATACGATACTTCAAACTGCTCGTTTTTCACCATTCCAAAGCATGAAACTTAGTGGAATCTCCTTCACAGATAAAACAGCCCTCAGCTAGGTAGACATCTAAATCAGATTGTTGTGGTTGAGCAGTTTCAACTGATTTTACATAATTTGCAAATTCAAACCAACCAGAAGAAGAAGCTTCTATATTCATACCACTAATACCATTATCATGCACTTGAGTTTCAGCACTATGCTCATTGCCAAATTGATACTCACGAGCATATTCATCATAAATCTCATAAAGGGCATCTCGAACTTTAGCAATATTTTCTTTTGCTTCTCTATCAGGGTACATTTGAGGAAAGCAAAACTCAATCACCCTCATTTTGCACCTTGGATCCAAGATTGCTGCTATAGACATCATCAAATTACATTTTCCCTAATACTTATCAAATTTACTCTTCATCTTACGAACCATTGCTTGAACAAATTCATTTTCATCATTCATCCTTTTATCCAACAACACTTTCACACGATAAACTTCATTCAGAAACAGGTTTGAAGTTGGATAATCACTTCCAGAGATGATTTTAGTGGCTGAATTAAAAACTTCTAAAATCTCACAAACTTTTTCCACATTTTCCCAATCTTCATGACTTGGACAACATTCATAATGAGATTCTCGCTCTTTGAGTCTCGGAAACACTTCTTTGAATTTGATTGCAATCGATAACATCTCGAATGTTGAATTCCAACGTGTTTTACAATCGAGAATGAGTTTCTTATCAGGCAACTGTAACTGCTGTATTATATCAGAAAATGAGTTAAGTCTTGCCTCATTTTGATTAATAAAATTGACACTTTCATGAACATCACCAATCATATTCTTAATCTCAGAAAGGCCATCTTGAACCATGAAATTTAAGATATATGCACAACACCGAACATGAAATAATTTTCCTCCACAAAACAACATCCTATTTCTTGAAAAAGTGTCTTTAAGAATTCTAATCGCCACATCATTGCTTGAAGCATTGTCCACAGAAAGTGTAAACACCTTGTTTTCAATTCCCCATTCCTTTAGACACTTAAAAATACAATCAGTAATCTCAACACCGCGACGAGAAGAAGGTATGTGAACAAAGCTAATAACACGCTTTTGCAATCTCCAATTAGAATCTAAAAAGTGTGCTGTAAGAACCATGTACTCAATCTTTTGATTACTTGATTTCCACAAATATGTTGTCAAACTAATCTTGCTGACAGTCTTCAACAATGCCTTTAATTTCTTCTTTTCTACTTCATAAACTTGCATGCAATCCTTTTTAATAGTATTGCGTGATACCTTTTCCCATTCAGGCATCCCACGTTTTTGCATCATGTTAAAACCTTCCTCTTCTATAATCGAAAAAGGATGCTCGTGCATAAGTATCCAATGTGCAGCTGCTTCTCTCATCTTTACCATATCAAACTTGCCATCTGTGAAAGCAGGTAGTATCTGTACATCACCACATGTGTTTACTGGCTGAAAGTTGATCATTTATTATTGATTCTAAAATTTTTTTATCTTAACACAAGTTATCAAATGCCTCTTAAATTGAGTCGTACTTTTACTTGTATTTATTGCTAGCTTCTTCTTGCAATGGACACACTCTCCTTTTTTGAAACCATCAGAAAGAGTGACTTCTTTGAATTCTAACCAAACAGCAGATGTCTTTTGCCTCTTTTTATCATTACTTTCTTCACACTCTTCAGGGTCAGCATTATCACATTCTCTATCATTGGCATCAATGACTGGTGTTTTATCTGTGTTACCATTAGTGGCATCTAAAGTTTCATTCATTGAATATTACCATCATCTGACACAATTCGACTAGTAAAAGAATTTATTGTCGGCTGAACTGGTATAGAAGAGATATCCGGTGTGGTTGATGACATGTTTAGTTCCCTATAGCAAAAAAATAAAAGATAAATCAAAACAATAATATAATTTCAGGATCAAACAATAATGCAAACAAGTTGTTAGAAACATGTGCGGTAAATTTTATTGCCAGAAACATGCTAAACAAGTTGCGAGAACAAATTATTGGAAGAGTATAAAATTTTATTCTTTGGGAAAATATACTAATATTGTAGGAATTTTAATAAAGTTAAGATTACCTACTTCGATAATAATTTCAATTTCTAAAATCAATTTCTTAAAATGAATATTTCTTATTAATCTTTACAATTATACATGCCTATTTAGTATTTATATAACATTAACTCAATCTCATTAGAAATAAGTGTCAGGTTATATTCTAACAAATCTAATATGTAGAAAGAAGAAAAGTATTCACATTAAAACAGTCCCCAATAAATTAGTGATGAACTATATGGAAGCTTAAATTATGATTATGACTAAAAACAATAGAGCCAATGACCTTTTTTTTTTGTTAAATAATATGAACCATCCAAAAGTTTTTCTACTGATAAAGGGTATTGTGCAAGTCTTGAAGTGGCCCAAATTCAGTTACTTTCTTGCTAATAATATAGAGACTTTTGGTTTACAAAATTCAGTATTTAAATGCAACTTCACAAAGAACATATTATTTTTCACAAGTTTGCAACAAAAATAAAAGTATAATACGATAGTGTTTGACAAACAAATCAGAATTGAGAATATCAATACTAACAAATAGCTATAACACTTTGCCCCCTTTCATTGTTGTTCTCAATCTGCATGCCCACAATATTCATAAAGGTATTTAATTTAGGCATTCATAAAGGTATTTAATTAAGGCATTCTTATTTAAACCGCCTTTTAGCATGAATTAGAAGCCTAACATAAAAACATTTAATAAAAAAATGGCACTCAAAAAGTATGTCATGGAAAAAAGGCTACGTTGAGGGATCGGGTTCTATTCAAGCTACTGCAAACGTCGAATGGGTGGAATGAGCTTACCTTTTAGAGAAAGGAGAAAGGGCTACGTTGAGGGATCGGGTTCTGTTGAAGCTGCTGCAAATGTCGAATGGGTTCTGTTGAAGCTGTTGCAAACTGTTGAAACTGCTGCAAACGTCGAATGGGTTCTGTTCAAGATCTGTAAACTGTTGAAGCTGCTGCAAGCTACAAACGTCGAATGGGTTCTGTTCAAGATCTGTAAACTGTTGAAGCTACTGTAAACGTCGAATGGGTTCTGTTGAAGCTGCTGCAAATTGTTAAAGCTACCGTAAACTGTTGAAGCTGCTGTAAATATCGAATGGGTTTTGTTCAAGATCTACAAACTATTGAAGCTGCTGCAAGCTGCAAACGTCGAATGGGTTCTGTTCAAGATCTGCAAACTGTTGAAGCTGCTGCAAGCTGCAAACGTCGAATGGGTTCTATTCAAGATCTACAAACTGTTGAAGCTGCTGCAAACTGTTGAAGCTATTGCAAACGTCGAATGGGTTCTGTTGAAGCTACTGCAAACATCGAATGGGTTCTGCTCAAGATCGGGTTCTGTTCAAGCCTTTTAGAGAGAGGAGAAAGGGCTTTCGAAAGGGTGGAACAAGCTTGGAAGACAATGGAGTGGGATTCGGGAAGAAAAGGCACCGCAAGTAGGGCTGTTGGTGAGTGAGAGAGACGGGGAGAAAAACTGAAGGAGAAGAGAGAAAGAAAGAAAATAAAATTTTAGGGTTTTTTAAGCTAAGGGTAAAAAAGTAATTTTATAAATAAAATAATAAAAATAAATATATAATAGAAAAACTCGATTAGACTCGCGAGCTACTCAGGCCGGATATAAGAATACTCGAATTCGGCTCGATCGATAAGTCGAGCTACTCGAGCTCGAGCTCGACTCGATAATAATCGAATCGAATTCGAGTTTTCTTCGAACCGAACCCGAGTAGCTTGCGAGTACTAATGTATCATTTACACCCCTAAGCACACCAAAACTTCATCCTACAGGTCGTTGCAATAAATAAAATCAAATGAATATTAACATTGAATATGATCATATAATATTTAAATAAATATTTTTATACAAATATTAATATAAAAAAAGATTAAAAAAATTAACTTTAATTTCATGATTTTAAACTTTAGAAAGGGCACATAATTATTTTCTTAAAAAATATTAAAATATTTATGGACTTTAGTTTGAAAAAATAAAATATAAAAAAATAAGTTACGATAAAAATAAAAAAAATAAATTTCTAAAGGTTATTTTGTCAATTAATTTATTTTTATTAGATTAAAAATAGTCAAATAACAAAAGAAAAATTAAAAATTATAACACATGATTTACATTTACGTATCAACCGAAATAAGTAAATTTACCAAAATTTATCGAAATCAATCAAAACCAACACAAACAACCGATATTACATAGTACTAAATTTGGTACGAAAATTTATTTTTAAATATATCATATTTTAATATAACTGAAGCGTATCGCTAACATTGAAATGAAATTATCAACTATGCTAAAAAGTTCTAGGTCATCTTTCCTTGATCTATCATTTCATCATTTAGATTTCCCAATATCCTTCTATAAATTGCAAAACCCAAAATGCAAATGAAACATTCTTTAAAATTAAAATAAATATAAAATATTTTTAAAATAATTTAAAATTTAAAAATATAAAATATTTTTAGAAATTATAAAAATTAAAAAATTATGAAAACTTTAAAAAATAAAATTTTTTATAAAAATAAAATTATCTTAAGATCAAAAAAATTCACAAAAACTTAAAAAAAATTTATAATAAAAAAATCTAAATTATTTTTACAAATCTAAAAACTAATTAAAAATTCTTTAAAATCCTAAAAAATTATGAAAACATTACAAAAATCTGAACATTCAAAAAAATTTAGAGAAAAAATTTTAAAATGAAAATAAAAAATAAAAAATTAATATTTTAATAAAGAAGCCAAAAAAATAAAAACATCCAAAAATAATTATAAAATATATAAAAATTTAAATTGTAAGATTCAAAAAAAAAAAAAAGAAAAATTTTCATAATTTTCATAATTTTTTTTGCAATTTTTTTTGCAATTTTTTTATTTTTTTATTTTCAATGTTTTAAAGTTTTTTTGAAAAATCTACACTGCTACCTTAACATAAAAAAATTAAAATATAATCACATAGAAAAACTATTAAAAATTAAAAGAAATCTTCTTAACAAAACATAAATTTGTTAGTAATATAAATCAATATAACAAGATAAAATATCTAGATTTTATAGTTTAATTATCACATAAAAATTGTGGAAAGAAAAAAAAGAAAAAAAAATCAGTAAATAGATTAAGAGAAAAACATGGAATAACAAAAAGAATCAAAATCTTATTGAAACATTGAAACTTGAGTATCACCTTCCATTGTCAATGAGTTCATATATTACCAAAAATTTACAAGTCTTGTAAAAAAATCAAATACAATGAAAATATAGAAGAAGAAGCAAATTTTATGTCAACTTGATTCCCTAAAAATAAAATATCAATTCATACCTTCAAAATAAAATAAAAAGTTATGATATAATTGATAAATCAACCTTTTTATTCTCATTGCAACAATTTATTTATCACTTAAAAAAGAAGTTCAAAAGCCATAAGTAAAAATGAGTTTTAAACATGTCTCAAATGTCAAACAAATATATTTAAATAACAAAAACATTAACCACGGATCATATAAAAAATGAAAAATTATAAATATGCAAACATGAAGATGATGCATACAAATGTCATGATCAGTAACATGCTATACACAAAAAATCTAAAATATATATATATATAAAATGAAAGAATTTATATAATCTAAAAAATGAAAATCAAAAGTCATAAATAAACAATATAAAAAACAATATTCATGCCTACAATTTAACTAAAAAATAATAAAATAAATTAGAGATAAAAAAATAACATGAAAAAAATATGGAAAAAAGCATATATACATTTTCATCAATCAATATCATTTTTGTACTAACATGTTGCTTAGTCTTAAAATTATAAATATCTCACAATTGGCAAACACAAATTATGAATCCATTCATTTTTTTAAGAGATAATCATCAACCATGGTATATTCTAATTGGTTGATAGCTAAGTTTAAACAACAAAAAAGAAAGAAAGAAACATGATAAAAAAATTATAAAAATACAAACAATAAAAAATACACCAATTGGTTAAGAAACAAACATGAAATGTAAAAAAAAAAAATCATAAATCATGATTAAAAAATGAAAAAATTATAAAAATGAAAACTTAATAATAAAGATATCATATGATTAGCAATGGTTAATAATAAACCTTAAACTACAAAAAAAAAAAATCATGGTAAAAAAGTAAAAAATTATAAGAAAATAAAAAAACTAAAAAATTATCAATTAACTAAGAAACAAACATGAAATGTAGAAAAACATAGATCATGATTAAAAAATTACAAAATTATCAAATTATCAAAATGAAAACACAATGGAAAAACAAAATTTCATAATTACTAATATGACAAATAAGAATTAATAGAAGAAAGTGTAATAGAGATATAAAAGATACTCATATAACCTCTATTCTTAAAAAAGATGAAAAATTATAAGTCACAAAGAAAATCAAAAGGCAAAAATATAAATGTAGACACCCATATATGTTCGAGATCAATAAACTTATTCCTAGGGTTATTTTATAATATTATTATAGTATACTAACGTAGTATATTATATGGCAATATATTATTGTTATATTATATTATTATTATTATTATTATTATTATTATACTTTTTATTTTTCTTTCTTTTCTTCCTAATTGCTAATCCAATAACTAAAATTGAGAATTGAATTCGTTCAAAGGGTCAATCGGAGCTTAAATCAAGGAATTTTTCAATCAACAA